TATAAAGTAACAAAGAAATCAAGACAGAAAAAGCAGAGGATGATTTCTGTTCTTCGTCTCGGCTTGCAGGTGCCCCTACCTCCAGTGGCATCCATCCAGACACCAGCAGTGACACTGGCCGTGCTCAGAACTGCCTCAGCCCTGAAGACACAACTGACAAATAGAAGGGGACCGCGTCCTGTTACAGCAGGTGCTCTCCCTTTGTGGGTCCTTACGTAACTGCGCGGTGTTTTTCAGGATCGCCCGTTCCACATTGTGCGACGCTACTGCGGTGTCTCCTAGTTACTTGTTTCTGTAAGTACTCGTGTATTTTCTCCAATGTGTGGTACTAGACATCTGAAAATGCTTTTTTCAGATGAAAACTAATGTGTTTTTAATATAATAATTCTGAAAAAAGGGGTAATAGAGGCTATCCTGGTCCCACTACTCAGAGATAATAATTAACACTTTAACGTCTATTTTTGTCCTTTTCGTCAGTGTGTATCACCTCTGTCATAAAAACCAGCGAGCACTCTCTGCCTGTTTACTGTGTGGAGAACTCCATTTTCCATTCGGCTTTTTATATTTTTTTCTGCAATATTCTATCTCCCCTGGCATGATTTTTAATGACCAGTATAGAATTCTGTCTTGTGGAGGCATCGTCCATTTTACTTCAGACTTAAATAAACTTTTAAATTCAGAGTATACTTTACGGAAATATTGAAAAGAGAACCGTGGTGGTACCGAAAGTCCCCTACCTCCCTTCCCCTTATTTCCTGAAGGTAAAAGCTGTTGACAATGTGTATATATTTCATGACCTTTATGCCTATGACATATATATATACACATACATACATATGTACATACATACACGTATATGAGAAATCTATATATATGTGTGTGTTTATATGCTTTATTGAAAATTAAGGCCATACTATATGTTTTCTACAGCTCGCTTTATTCACTGAGGTGTATATCATAGACGTCCTCCCACTCCAGATTCACCCGGTCCTTTCAGATACAGTGGAGGGGTCTCCTAATGTTCAGGTGTGGTCTCTTTTGCAAGGACCCCTTTGGTGAGACAGTGCTGTGGACAAGGCCCTGGACCATGCCGAAACACCGGTCCCCTCAGAGCCCAAAGCTCGCCGTGATTTACTGCACAATTTACTTGATGGTGGACACTTAAGTTTTCTCCATTTTCCACTGTCAGTAATGACGTTTGACTGGCATCCTTCTTGTACAATCATTCCTGTAATCTTGTATGAGTATTCCTTTAGTTAAGGCTTCCTGAAATTTAGTCCCTGGATGTGACATTTACATTCATCTCAGGCTCTTTTCAAGTGACTCTAGAAATTCCTTCTCCAGTGGGGAATGAATAGATGTAGAATAACTTCTGTAACCCATTCTATATCGCTGGATATGATTTCACTTCCGCTTTTCTTCCCAGCATTGTAAAAAGTGCTGTGTAAATGCCCTGATGAATAGATCATTTTGAACTGATTTTTTTTCTAAACGAAACGATTCCTAGAAGCTGAGTTGAGTTTGTGTGTACACACGTTTTTCAGAGTTTACATATCCATTGACATGTCGTCCTGCAAACACGTCGCTCACAGTTTGTTCTCTCACAGATGGATACTAGCTAGAATATCTTTTATAAATATTTGCCAATATGATGAGCAAAAGTGCTTTTTCATTGTTTTAGCTTGCATTTGATGACCAGTGAAGTATTCAGCATTTTTCACTCATTAGCCATCTCATTTTTTAAAAGTGAATGATCCCTTTTGTCCATTACACACAGTTAAGTGAGGGAGCTTCTTGTTGCTTTGTGACAGCTCTTTGTATGTCATGAACATTAACCCCTTGTCTTCATCAACATGTATCTCAGAGCTTTTTCTTGTCATTTCTTGCCTTCCATTTTGTTCAGTAGGTTTATTTTTGTTGTGGCCCAACATATTCTTAAGATATTAAATGTCTTCCTTTTGTGTTTTAACTTTGGTATTTTTCTTAGAAATACTTTCTTATAATGGTATAAATCTCTTCTGTAGGTTTTTTAATCTCTAAGATGGAGATGATAATAGTAATTGTTCTAGTGAGAAGAAGTTGAAGTAATATGAGCAAAGGGTTGTATTTGCTCTTATTAGTACTTTTTAATATTTACGTCACTATCTGTAATTTTTCTTGTGGTCATTATGACAGGAATAGAATTTGTTCTTTCCAGGGGATTCTCTGATTGTCCCAGAACAATTATTGAATTCATGCTTTGCTCTTTGATTTGAAATCCCACGTGTACAATATACTTATGTACACTAGAGTCTCTTTTTGAGCTCATGGTATATTTCTGTAAATCTTTCTTTCTTATTCTAACGCTATATCTTACATATTGTAAATCTTTATTTAATATCCGACAGTGTGATGTTTTTTGATTCTTTTCTTCCATCCCAAATTTTCTTGGCTAGTATTATGACTTTATTATTCCTGAAGAATTCTAAATTACTTTGCTCAAGTTAAAAAAAACAGGTAAGAGTTTTCATGGGATTTTTTAGTAAGTTTTGAATTATCTTTAGGGGAACTTACGTCTTTAAAAAACTGCTTTCCTCCATGCAATATGTTGATATCCATACATTCACCCCTCTTAATTTACCCCTCAGTACATTCCTGTAGTTTTCTCCATATAGAACATGGGCATAATTTTGAGTTTATTCAAGATTATTGTTGAGGATTTTGTTAATTTTTTAAGGGAGAATTTTTTGGTATTGCATTTTTTAACTGTTTCCACTGACACCTAAGAAGGCAGATTCTGTTTGTAAATACTCACTTTGTAACTTGTCATTTAAAATTGTAAGTATTAAGTACTTGTTCCAGAATGCTTTCTTTTCTGTTTTTAAAAGTTTGTTTCCAAGATTATCAAAATGATCATAGCTAAGTAGTATAGGTGGGGAGACAGATGGAGAGAGCTAGTGTGGCTCATGTACAAACTGTGAGCAGTTTCATGGCTGCCTTTAGGCTGGAGAAGCCACAGAAAAGTCCAGGAAAGACCAGGGATAGCTTTGTATGCTCTTTAAAGCCAGCTTTCCTGCCTTTATGGAGAAGCCTGGTGCATGTGGCAGGTAGATGATCAAGGTCCGATGGAGGTCATTGGCTGCACAGAGCGCTGTGTCTGTGAGAAGTGGAGACCAGTGCCATGGGAAATGCTTGGTGCCAGGAACACTGCAGGGGAGCTGGGTATCCTATGTGTTAAGGATTTTCCAGTCCTGGGAGTGGGAAGATCAGACTCTGCATTCAGATCTGAGTTTGAATTCATCCTCTCTTGTTTAATGGTCCTCTGACTTTTGTCAAGTTATATACCCTTTTTGAACTCCTGTTTTCTTGTCTCTCAAAATAGGAGAATTACGGCCTGCTGCTAGAGTGTTTGATCAGGGTAAATGATTTGTGTCTGTAACATGCCACGTACAGTCACAAGCTCAGTGAGAACTGGGCTGTCGCCTCTTCTTCTGCAACTCAGTGCTTGACAAGACATGGGAGAAAGCCAGTCCCTAATTTGTGTGTGATGCAAAGAGGAACAAAATTAATGTGTTGCCTTTCACTAGCAGTATTCTTACTCCTTAGCTTCATTTACTTCTTTCCTCCTTTCCTTTCCCCTTTCCCTCCTTCACCAAAAGAGCCTGAGACTCTCTGAGAACACTAGATTCAAATGACTTTAAAGGTTGGCTCATCCTCATGAAATGATAGTAACAT